GACTTTCGGTTTGTTCGATTCCAATTCCTCGAAACGCCGGATTTCTTAATTACTTTCTGGAACATCCACGGTCGGATACACTTATAGTTGATTGGAAATTTAAAATTCGGATTTTTTACTATCGACTCCTCGCGGATCCTTCAACATTTAATTGGAATCGAACAAATTGTGGATACTCGAGCGCCTTCGCCGATATTTTGAAATAATCATTAAAATACAGTGCCCTTATAAAGTCTCCTTATGTAACTAAATTATTCAACCAACCCTATAAGAAGAAATAATAAGTGTTCAATAATTTTTAGCCCATAATTTATAGTTTCTTTAGCGCTTCAGAATACTTTATGAAAGCGCTGTATAAAATTTTATAGTAAATATTCACTAGCGAGTAAAATTATGATCAATTTCGGCCCAAATTTGATTTGAACGCAAATTTACGGGGTTAATAATTGAGAAGTTGTCACGGTGTTTCGGCCCTAAATACTCTAAAATTCGGAGGCCTTCGAAGTTTCTCGCTTCTTTATTAATTCGTCCGTTGGATAACTTGAGATTTTAATTAAAATTATTGAATTCGCCTTCCTTTTTATAAGCGTCGCTAGTAATTAGGAAAAAAGGTGATTATGGAGAGAAAGGGGGCGACTGCCCTGTTTCCGCCAGCGATTCGAAACTTCGCCTGTAATTAGTGGGAGTGTAAATTAAATTTAATTACATTCAATGTTCAATGCAATTCATCGATACGTATTTATACTTGCATAAGCGGAGTCGCTATAATCCAGTAAAACTTGAGCTTTAAATTTTAATATCTGGTTAATGAGAATGTTCTAACTAGTGTTGTGGCCGCTCCATTAATGACCTCAACTACAACTTTTCCCTTGACGATATTTTCTACCTATCAAAGTTTTGTGTAGTCGGTCGGAAAGTGCGGCATTTCGCGCATGCATGCGCTATTTTCTATTAAAATAACTCTAAACAGGGAACCGTCGATTTATAAAATATAAGCGATATCGCATGAAGTTGCTGCCGCTCTGGAACTATGCAATTAGGAATTTCGTTTCAATAGAATGGATAAAATGCAATTAATCGTTAGTTGTTACTGAATATGTGGAGATAATTCGTTGTTTATAGATAGTTAAGTATTTAATTAATTAAGCTATCAAATAGGATTGGAAATGAAAGACTGTGTGTAATTCTATTTCTATTTAGTGTCAAGGTTTCCAATTATTTAATTGTTATTTTTTTGTGAAGTAGATATTTTGTTATAAACTATTAGACACACTTTTAACGGTTCGTAATTTAGAAAATAAAATAAAATTCTCTCAACAAAAACAACTTCCTTCTTTCTTTATTGACAACTGACTTATGACTAATATATTCCTACCACTACAAAAACAAAAACTAAAAACTCTTACCAACTACTATAATGAAATTTCACCATTGCAATTTTCAATAAGATATATTTTTCTGTAAAAATATGGTAAGATGGTAGGTATATTTAATATTCCACGTTATTATTATTTGCTTATGACATAACATTCTTTCATATAAATCCTGCATATCCTTTTAGGTTTTGTGACGTTGATGTGGAATAAACGATTTTTCGTAGTCTTTTTTGACGTACAAATATCAAAGTTAAAGATATAAAAATTTCGAAATAACACTGACAGTTATCGACGGAATTTCGTCCAATTTTCAAACATTTACATGTATGATACTCGAATAATTTATGGCGAAATAAATTGAAAAAAGTTTCGTGCGCAAATTATCGGTCATAAGCCGTGAAAATTTCACATAAAAAGTACTACTATAATAGTTAAATTGATTGACAACTAGAAAATAATTATAAGTTGTTAAAATACTCGTAAGTGCTTATGGAATATGCAAAATGCAAGGGTGCATAAATGCATTTTTATGAGATAGAAAATTGCATATGTAAGATAAAAAAGTACATAAATTACGATTTTTACATATTTGTGGAGTTATTTTAACATTTGTTTTTATTTTTTTTAATATTTTTAGTAAAATGCTTAACCATATGGCATAGTTTAAAGATTATTAGTGCATATTTTCATGCATATTTATTAACATTATAACATAAAATCTATTTCCTCAAAAACGGCAGTTTTTGATTGTGTAATTATTGATAATAAAAGGTAGGTACATAAAAACTAATTTTAACAGAAATATTTCATATAGAGCGATATGCCTTTCATACAAACAATTTGTCATTGGTAAATTTTTGTATTATACTAATAAATTTTTTGAGACTCATATAACTCTTATTCTATTGAAGTAATGGTTCCCTTTCAAACTAACCGAAGTTCGTGGACTCTAATTTTCCACCGTTGGAAGTCCCACGCGCTAAAAAAAGCAATTTTGAAGTTTGTTGAGCTTTTATTTGTGTTCGGATTTTAAGGAGAGTAATGAATTTAACTTCAAAATCGTCCGGATTTGTCCGTTTGACTTTCGTTTATCTTTCGGGGTCTTTCCAAACAAATTGACATCGACTAACAACGATAAGTCGTCGAGTAAATAAGAATAAAATTATCGAGTATTTTTTACCGTTAAAAAAGCAATTTTCCAGTACAGCGGGGGCTTTTAATGCGATAAAACCGGGAAACTCGAGTTCAGATAACGTCCAATTGCGTCGAAGCCAAAGAGATTTTCAATACCCGTTTATCGCCTGGAAATTATTATTATCGTGCATTATATCGTTCTAAATTTTCCTCGCACACGCATGCACGTATCATACACGAGCAGTTTTTCATTATACACTCGTATTTTACCCGATTAGCATGAAATTGGATATCTGAGAATAGCGAGCTTTTTTATTCATTTCGTTTCACCATCGGCTTTTTAAATATTCCAGGGTGGCGCAAAATTAGCTATAAATTCAGCGAATTAATTAACACATACGTTACTAATAGTAATCCATCTCGAACGTATCCCGAAATAAATGGAAACAAAGCGTATAAATTCATTCGCGTTTTTGCCGGAATTAGATTTTAGTTACGGATAAAACGTATAAATAATCCGAATTCGATTATAACATCGCCGGTTAATTTCCCGTGCGGTATTTTTTTAATATTCCACCGCAACTCCTGATATAAAACCGGCGGTTTATCGTCTTAATTCGCTTAGGCCCCGACGAAATTAACGGAATGTCATCCATCCTTTATATATACGTGACTCTTCCGACGAGTGTACTTTAGAAGAAAAGGAAAAGAAGGATAAATACACTGCGTAAGGAGATCCGGCGAGTTCGAGTGTAAACAGGGTGGGATATAGAACCTCATTATTCTTAACTCTCCTTTGAAAGTAGAAAAGACCCCGTCAAGTCGAAGTTGTGACGGAAAAACGGTCCAAATAAGTTCGAAATTACTCGAGTGAAACGACTCATTAAATAAAAAAGAATCGAATAAATCCAGTTCACGTTATAACTTCGGCGATGATGTCGCGAATTAGGATTTATTTGAAATTAAAAATATTACACAAATATTTCGTTTGTGGAAGAAACGTGACAAAATTGTAAATTTCTCAGTTATACCAATTCAAATAAAAAGAAGATGGGATGTAAAGCCTCATTATTCTTAAATTTCCTTTGAATGTAGAAGAGACCCTATGAAATGGTCCTAATGAAACTCGAAAATACTGAAATGAAACAACTTATAAAACAAGAAAATCGTACTAGATTAATGCATACGAAGTGTATTTTACGCTAACGAAGTAAATAAAACGATAAAATAAACACAGGCGTGTGCACTTAATGCGAAGTTCGATATGGAAAGAATATCTCTCAAACATTTTCCCTGGTGTAAGTGGAGCCTTGGCAATCGAATAACAATAAAAGTCAACTTTACAAGACGGGAGTATATGAAATGTATAAACATTGTCTCTTAGTATAGTTATAATTTGATTTTCGTCGGTGCGAGGGCGTGTGTATTAGTATCGGGCGAATGAACTTAAATACACAAAAGGGAGAAAATTCGCTTCTCTTTGGAAATATTTTTCGTTTTTCTTTCGTCGCTGGGGGAAATTTGTGTCACTGGGTAATTGGGTTTTTTAAAAATATTTAAGTATCTACTCCAATTTATATTCTTTTAATTATTTCATATTACAAATTCATGTCAACAAGAGGCATATTATGCGCAGCAACTTCGGAACTTCGCAGAAAACTAGTGGAAATCTTATTTCGACTTTTCGAAAACTCGAATACTCGGTCTTTTTTTGTTCGTCTCGCGGCCGAGGAAACTTTTAAATTCGATTCCCCATTCGACAGCGACACCAAAATCAACAAATCTTTTTTAGTATTCGCTTTGTCCGACAAACTCCCAAAGTCTAAGGCGCTTTTCTCGAGTCCCTCTTTTATTTATTCGGTTTTAAAACGACGGTTTCAATGCGGTCAGAATAATCGAAATGCTCGAATTTCCACTACAAAATTGATTCGTTCGTTGTTCCAGGTGGTTTCCGCGCGGTGGATTTTTTTTAATCTCTCCGAGGGGGATTTTTTTAATCCGATGTTAGTGGAGTTTAAGCGGAGTTTAGAACAATTAAATAATTGAAGGTATTTCGTCGGGAAGAATAATATATCAAATTCGTGTACAATAGAAACTTTCTGAAATTAATTCGCTTGGAGCTCGAAAAACAGATGGGGTTATCTAGATTTCGTTTGTTTGGTTTAGTTTCTCCCTTGTTCGTATTTCGACACTATGCATATACATTTTCAGGAATCCTGTCATGTCCTTTTCGTTTTCTGAATACCTAATTTCTCCGGTTATCATGAAAATATTCATATTGTATTTCGTGAATAAAATGTTGCCTTTTGATGGGTTCAGTAACGACTCATTATTGACTCTCTAAAATGTACATTTGCCTCTCTTAGGCACAGAAATGGATGTACGAGTATATTGTAGATAATTAATACGTAGTTTAATTAACCTGTGCATAAATAGTTCTGGAAATTCATAACAAGCATATGTAATATGATAAATAAACTTCAAACTTACCCCTTCTACTGAAGCAGCATTATCCGTATTTTTCACAACGAAATAATCGGTGTTATTTTCCATTAGGACGAGCGATTCCATGATCAGATAACGCTTTACTCCATCTGAAATCCAAAATAATATATTAAAATTTTCAATTCAATTAGCCCATATTAAATATACCTACTATTATCGAATAACGTTTTATTTTACATCGACGAGGCTTTTTTATTTTCGAACGGAACGCCATGTCGAAAGCGGTTTTAACTAACGGCATCCCCGACTGGGTTTTTAAGGAAATTAAACATTAAAAGAAAACTCTCGAGTCGACTACGAGCGGCACGTAAAAGTTAAACAGGATCAAGAAAATTGGATTTTTTTCCTCGTATCGCTCGTTTGACGAAAATACCGACATTTATACATGTTCGTATATCGACTGTACGTAAAGTGTACTCGAAAATATCGCCTGGAAATGGAAATTGGCTTTTTAATTTATTTTCCTACTAACTTTCAAATCTTTCTAGATTGAGTTTAATTTTTTTTTTCGTGGTAGGTCAATTTCGTGATGGGAATTAAGGCAATTTGTTCAACTCTTAGAAATGACCATATTGGAAACTTTTATGCACTTTGGTGTATAAGGTACTCTTTTTTGAATTCTAAACCACCCTCTGAATAAGTTATAAATATAATATTTTTATACTTTTAATTTTATAATTTTGCCCTTTACTCGTATATACCTAGGTTTAGTAGTTCATCTAACTTTATCCGTAATATACGAGTACAAATAAAAAGTAACCCTTTTTTGATAATTCCATCAAAAAACATAATTAAATCTATTCAACTCAATTCCGCAGTGTTAACATTTTCGGTGCCTTTATTTTATATGTTTGTATTGGCTTTGAATGCTTCACAATGCTTGTTTTCGACGTTGGAATTTCGAAAGGGGTGGTTTTCTTTTGTGTATTTTAATATCGAGCACAAAATGAAAATTTTTGGAGATCAATTCGTCGATTATTAATTATCAAATATTGAGAATTAATTTTCGTTCGCCGATAAGTTTGCGTTTCTTCGGCGAAAGGAAATCTCGACGCGATTTATTCATTCAGTCGACACACAACAAAAAGTCCGAGACAATAAATAATTCCCCGAAATGTCCCAATTACTTCCGTGTACATTTGCATAAGCACATAAGCCATAATTTCACTTTATCGCTTTTCCGATCTGTTTTACACACTCCATAAGTCCATATTGAACCAACACGTGAATATTCATTATCCCGACAATCAGCTATTTCTTTTTTAAATACAATTCCATTTACCGCACACACGAAAAATCAAGCTAAATTAAATGATTAAAGTCTCCCTTAATTACTTTCATACAAAAGTCTTTCAAACATACATGATGTCCTAAAATTGTTCCATTAAAATATATTTGAATCGAATTTTATTACATTTTTTAGACTCTATCATACATACAGTGCTCAGATTTCATCTCAAGTTCGTGTCCTATTAGTACATAATTAATGAGGCAGTAATAAATAATAAATATTAAGTGGAATTATGCAATTAGAAATTGTGCAAGTGCAACGACGATCCCCGGGGACGGATTTATCTCGTCGGATTAAAGCAGTAGATTTCGAGAAGATGGAGATGGATCTCGGGCGAGCCGCAATTTGAAAATTTGATTAATTGGAAATTAAAATCGATTGGCCCCCGAAGTGCTTAAGCAAACACACGCGTCGGTCCCGGCTAAATATCCGATATGGTTTGATTGGAATTTAATATCGACACGATGGGCCTACGGGGCGCGCGAAAAGTATCATGTCTACTGCTGAATCAGTTTTTACGAGAGTTTAATGGAAACTGTTCTTTTGTTCATTATTTACAATGCTTGTGTTTAATTAATTTTGTGTGCTAAATACAGAGTTATCATAGGTTCACAAATAGTTTTAATTTTACGGTATGTTCCAAGTTTTATCCGACACAATTTTTTTTCCATCGCCTTGAAATTAATCCAATTTCACAATCGTTCCGGTAGGGCTTTTACCTCTACTTTTTTTCTTATAATAAATTAGAAAACTCTAAAAATCGTTCTTTAAGCTCTTTCGTTCGTGTCGTAGCAAAAAGGAGTCGGTAAATTTTCGCATGAGCGTTCTTTCAATTTTCCTATTTCGATCGCCGCTTTTTTCCCTACAAAAGCGACGAGCTTTTCCATCGGATGTAACTTTTCCGCTGGAAATGTTTTCTTCTGAGAAATTTCCTACGGTTTGTGAAACGGAGCCGATTTCAAGTGGCGCTGAAATTGAGTGCATTCTGTATAATTTGATCCATATTATTGGCCAAACATTTCTCTTATAATATTATACATATTAGAGAAATATTATTATTCCTTAAAAAAATTAAAATTGGTAGTATACGTTTACTCACAGTAATGGCAGAAAATTAAATACATACAGACCTATAAGAGTAGTTGTTGTTTTTTTAATAACATGCTAATACTGAAGGGTGTTTCTTGGACCCATTTTAAGAAAAAAACTTATGAACATTTTATTACCTAATTTCTGCACAGTGGCTAATCCATCGGTAGCGTACAAATGAATGCATTTAACTTTTTTAAGCGAAACGGTGAGCCTTAAAAAACGTAAAAAAGTCAAGAAATCAAATTTGTTCATAATTGAACGGGGCCTCCAAAAATATTTTTTATTTCAAGAGAAAGCAGTGGCGTACCACTTTTACCCTCAAAAATATTTGGCCTGAGTCCAGTATGGACGCCACTGTTAATAAAAAAATAATGGAAACAAGGAAATAAAAAAAGTGTTTTGCAGGTCAAAAAATGCTCTTTAATGCATAAACACCGTACACCAAATTTCATAACAATATTTAAAGTGGTATGGAAATGGCAGTAAAAAATTGATTTTTTTCTTAAAACTTTAATAACCTATATCTCAAAAGTTAAGACGTTTAGGAAATAGGTTCATATGAAGTTTTTTTCTTAAAATGCGCGCTAGAATCACCCTATTCAGTATTAGCTTATTTATTATTAGCACTAAGCTGAATATTAATTTAATTCTTCCTTAATTCCGTTTCAGCAATTCCACTCGTGCTTTAAATAAATTAAAAAATCCTAAAAAAAATCGAATAATACTACCAATACCGCTTCTATCGAATTGCAATATCCTTTTGCATTTCAATTAATCCCCCTAATTCCCCCATATTGCGGTGGATAAAATTCCTGTATAACGAAGAGCGCCACCTTCCGAGCGTAAAAGATCATTAAAAATGCAAGAACCGTTCCGGATATAAGGAGCACTTAGTGAAGTGTGCATTGTGCATTCCGGCGTTCTTTGCATTTTATTTTAACGCTAACGCAAATGGAATATATTAAAAATTCTCGTTTAAAGCGCCCGATATTGTGTGTGTTATTTGCTAATGGCGTTTCTGTTGTGCTCGCGCCAAAATGCGTCGACTTGTAAGGGTATTTTGGACCTAATTTACACTCCTTTGTGGCGCTAATGTGATGGATGAACTCGCGTCAAAAATGTATCGCAAATACGTGATAAATGGTTAATCTTCCTAGTCGAGAAAAAATATAAATCACATGGAGGCGAACGAGGGCAAAGTCATGTTTTTTATTTATGTACTAAATCGTTGCTAAAAAAGATTAAAAAATGTATTGTTTTTTTCGGGCATTATAAGCAGTTAGTGAATAAAAAATATTTTTATTTATTTTATATTAATTCATGTATATTAATTATATTTTATTATTATATATTATATTTTATTTTATATGTTGATACTGTTTCTATATATGGTGGGATTATGGGGGTGGTAATTTTCCATAGGTTACTATTTTTTATGGTAAAATTATGTTAAATAAAAATACAAATCCTCAACATTTAAAACGCTCAATTTCGGTGTATTTCGATGTAAATCACAAAAATCAATCATTAAAAAATCCCTGTAAATTAGAATAAAATTTAATCAGTTCCATTTTACCTTGACGGATTCGAGGGGGGCGCCAGACGGCCGAAAATTCATCCCCGCCGCGCGAGAATCAAACCGAAAAAAAGCCAAAAAAACCCCTCTCCCGGAGCACGAAAAAGGCGGCAAAAACTCTCGAACAAGCTCCGGTCGCTGATCGGATGTTCCGGCGCTGTCTGGATCCGGTTGGGAGGGCGGGTTCGCGCACGACGACGGTCGCAAGAAGACTGGCGTCGCGGCGCTCGCCGGCGCCCCGTTTACCTGCCGGGCTTGTGCTTTTCGGGGGTGGTGCCCCACGCGATGGCCCGCGGATTCTTATCCGGAAAGTTGGCCAGGAACCCGTCCGGGTAGTACTATTAATTACCTCGTATTCCAGTTGGAAAGATCCGTTAACTGATGGGGAGTTTACGGCCTCTGGTGCGAATAAGGGAGAAAATATACTCGGGTCAAGTGCATATGTTAAGGGATTTGGAGAACTTTTTGGGTATCTGATGATTTAGGTATCGAAAACACTCGGTTTTTAAGAGTTGAATGTGTAGCCTAAAAAAGTACCTACCCTTAAACCAACAATCATTTTATGATAAATTAAAGTAACCATCAACAAATTAATTATCATTATTTCACCCACATACACAAAATTGATTGATTTAGCGCTCAGTTATTCATCCAAACGAATCGTTTTGCCGTTATCGGAGTTGAAAAAAAAACCTGTAAATAATCATCCCCTAAATTCGGATGTGTGCGTTAACCCCCATAAAGCGGAGGATCCCCTATATTCCGACCGCAGGAATCGTCGGGCGAGGACCGTTTCGTCCTCTTATCGATAAAATTAGCATCCTTTGTATTTCGGGGAAACGTCAACCAGGTGCTTCTCGAAATAGAAGTTCATTTAGGCGTTCCGGGATGTTATGGGCGTCGAAGTTACTTTCAATCGGGTTCGGGATTGGGGCATTATGTGGTGTAAAATTCGGTAAGATGATATTCTGCTTGAATGGGCTTAATATCTTGATAATTTAACAGATATACAGGGTGTATATTGATGGAAGCTTCTGCTGAAGGTGTTTTATTCAGGTTTTGTCAAAATGTAGAGTTGTTATTTATTTTATGTTTATAGGTGATTTTTTTTGGGTTCTTAAACGAATTTTGTAGGGAAATCTTACGACTTTTTTATGACTTTTGAGTATTTATGTTATTAAAAGGGTTTCTTCTTAGAAAGAGTTTTTGATGAAAATGATGTCAGTTGAAAAAAGTTTTATTAAATAGTTAAAAAAAAGATTATAAAGAGGTTTAAAATCGGGCAATCCCAGTAGCAATTCAAATCCTCGAAAATGACGAAAATACACCAATTTGATATTATTGAAAGATTCTATATCCTTTTCACATTCAAGGTTAACAAAAGCTGCCAAAATCAGCTGCAAATATTTATCAAAGATTTGCTTCCAAATTCATCAAAAAATCGATCATTCGATTCAAACCACTTTTGAGGCAATAAAAAATTCTGTAGGTTTGGTATCAGCACGACGGAGCTCCTGAATCTCTTCTTTTGCCAAATGAATATTTTTTTCATGTCTTCGGCTGCAGTTTTGGCATCTCCGTTGTCATTTACATAAGGCCTTTCCCGGTGATGGGGCGTGAGTTCTGGGCCACCCTGTATATTTTAACACAAATTACTAAAAGAGTACAATAAAATTTTTCAACTTGCGCTCAAAAATCGTGACAAAGTAGGTACCTATTAAAACAAGAAAAAATCATCACAAACTTCTTAAAATAGTGTAATTATTCTTAAAATTTATAATTGCCTAAAAATAAACTGAATTAAAATTCGCATATTTCAAAGAACTTATACAAAATTTACAATTAATTCAAATTTAACAATAAAATAATGTAATATGCTTTAAACTTTTATATAATAGTAACATTTGACAGGCTCGATTAAAAAATAGCACATTAACATATTTATTTAGTAAATACCAGTGGTTTTTTGTCAATTCTCACAATAATAATCAGTCACATTTGGAAGTATTACAAAAAACAACAATTGATTCCAAACTGCTTCCAATGCTCGACAGTATAGATTTGTTTGCGTTTGTTTTACGATTAAATGCAACATATCCAATTCGATATTCGACCGATTCCGGAAATTCCGCATGCATTTTGTACGTGTTCGTTCGAATGTTGATGGAATTTTTGCACAAAATCACGAACAAAATCATACCGCTTTGCTCCGTTTATTACCAACTGGAATATTCGCGACGGATAATTAATTTCAAGCAAATACACCAGCTGTAATTTCGCTAATTTACGTTTTTTTCCCAGTCGTTTCGCGACGTTATTAGTTATTAGTTTGAAGTTATTTCGCGCTAATGCAATAAGGCGATGCTTCCCCACGGGGGGACTCTTACGTAAAACTAGTTTAGGAGTTAGAAGGCTGTAGGAACTTCCGCTCGACGAACTTTTAGATTTAATTTGGTCGAAGTAGATCATCCAGAAAGGCTTTCGCAGTGCACTGGAGGCCCCCCAGTTTGCTTATCTAATGCATTTATAGTCGACTTGAGACGAAAACTACAAACCTACGATTATTCTCGCCCATTCAACTAATCCACTAACGTTATATGCGAATTACCATTACAATAGTGAATGAGCGATCGGGTACAATTTCTAAGACTAGTCAGGAATTGAAGAATACATCTATATGAAAAGATCTAAGAAATTCAATTATCAACTCCATATAAGTTCATCATGTGTATCATCAATCATTTATACAAAAATATAAATTATGAACCCAAAAGAGAGACAAATATCTACCTAGAGAGCTGATAATCCCGTAAAACAACGTTGCCACAATGTAAAAAAAATCCCAAAATTTTGGGTAACACATAGCGAGCATATTTCCAAAGATCATTTACTACCACTTACGAGCTTCCGACGATGCGTTTGTTCGCCCGCGGTAAATATTTGGGTCTAATAAAATTCCCCGGCCGGTTGTCCCACTTCTGACGGAGGTCGCACTTCCGATTTCCGGTCGAATAAAGGGCATTCCTTTCGGCTACCTTTGATCCTGATTATGCGGCTGCCTTCTATATAGATGGGCCGTCATCGCGGCGGACGGGCGGATCATACAAATGATCCCGATTGGATGGAAACGGGCAGATTTCAACGGGCATAACGGAGACGTAGGTTCACATATCCAGGAAATATATGAACTCGAATGAACGGGGAAATGCTTTTACGGATTTCGGTTTTATAGCGGCGCTGCTTTCCTCCGGCTGTTGTAACGAAAACTACGCATTAAAAGCTTGTTATTTAGTTTCTGGCAATTTTTTAACGTCTACGCTATAAATTTTCCACTGGAAAACACACAGAAAGCGCAGCCATAATATTGTTTGAAGCGTTCAAAGAGCCAAAGACTTTCTTTTATATACATCAGAGGATTAAATTAATTGTAATAGTAGCTAAAAAAAAAACATTGGTATACATGGTGTCCAGTTTAATAGCTCTTATTTGTAGCTTAAGCAGAAGTTACCTATACAATGTAGAAGAATTAGCATAATAGTAAACTTATTTTGGACACTCTGTACACAAGCTCCAGTCGAGCGGCTTTCGGGAAATTTACGAATGTTCTAACAGTTTTTCCCCGTTTTTCCGGGGAGACCTTTTAGCAGGCGATACGCTCTCGTGTTTAGGTTTTTTTTGGTGCGGCGTTATAAAAGTTATATAAAATGAAGTAGTCGGTTCTCGAATGACCCGGCCGTTTCGGGATGCAGTTACAGTTAAAAGGAAAACGTTTTTTCCGCTCTGCGAGCGATTTTTATTTCTATCGAGTCGCTCGGACGTTAAGGAAGGTTTTTTTCACCGGCGCTAATTTCATGCGGAAACGTGTCGCCGGAATTTCCATATCGCGCCCGAACAAAAACGGCGCGGAAAGTTGGGAGTTTCCGTCCGAAAACGGGGAGTTTACTGTACTGTGTCGCGCAATCAACGTGAGTGCAGAGAAGTTTGATTTGCGAGCCTCGTAAATTTTGTAAAGCCTTATGCACCCGAAAGAGGGAAGTTATAAAAAGCTGCACAAGTACCTAAATGTTTGAAGCAGTAAATATTTTTATAAATAGATTTGAATAATCTGGTGTTGAATAATCTCAACTATGTATTATGCAAGGTGTCCAGAAAATAGGTGTCAATAACTCAGGAGCGTATAGATGACGTTAAAATAAGGGTACAACTTCATATAAATTTTGTTAATTTGAGCCCCTCATTTTTGAGCTAGAGGTCTTTAAAATTGAATATTAGAACTAATTTTTACATTTTATTTCCAAATTATACATGGGAACAATATAAAATTTTTGTGGTTTATTACCCCTGTGTGCCCAATTTGGTGATAAAATATCCTACACTACTCTGTGGAAGGCAGTGGCGGCGTATTACCAGTGATTAACAATTCGTAACTTTTATGGGGACAATCTGTATAAGTCAAACATATCGTAAATACATTCTTTAATCGATGAAGTAACAAAAATATTTAAAGTCGATAAAATTAATGGTTTTAGAGAAATTTTCATTTTGGATTGAGATAAGAGATTTTTGGATAAACAAAAATACTGGACATACTCCTATTATTTGTAACTATTTTCTAGAAATAATGAATGACAAGAATAGACACGATCTTAGAATCTCTCAGATTGATTTGCCATCTCTTTTATGCGAAATTCCACTAAATCAAGAGATGAATTAATGGACAAAATAATATTTAATTGTAAAATCAAGAAATGTCTTTTAAAGTGCAAAGAAATATTCTCCTTATGTTTCATAAGTGTTTTCAACGACAGGATTCCCATATCGAACATTTATTAAATCATTCGTTTCACGATTAATAAAAGATTTTCTTTACATCCTGATTTAAAAATTAAAATTTCTCTTGAACCATTAATTTTATCGATTTCAAACATTTATACATTTTTGTTTATTAATCGATTAAAGAATGTATTTACTTTATGTTTGCTTTAAACAGATTGTCCCCATAAAAGTTGCAAATTATTAATCATTGGGAATAGAAGTTTTAAATTATCAACTTTAAAGACCTCTAGCTCAAAAATTGGGACTCAAATTAACAAAATTTACACTTCTTTATATATAGTCTTATTTTGATGTTATCTATACGCTTTCGAGTTATTGATATCTATTTTCTGGACACCCTGTAAAATTTCGTTGCTTGAGATGACCGCATACAACCATACAACCAGCGATATAGGTTTAAGGACGGTTTGCCAAGTTCCCAAATTAGTCCGTAAGGATGTTATTGGACTACCCTCAGAGTCTAGACAATCAACAAACCGAATTAATTAATCCCGGAAGGGAAATCTCTTCCGTTCGTTACGATAAAAATTATATACCCTTAAATTAGCGCTATATCAGTTGTTATTAGCCGAAGAGTTTCAATAGTCGAGGCCACGCATTTTAAACAATAAGTTAATTTTAGCTTCTATTGTGAAAATCATGATTATCTTAGCTCTACAAACAAAAGTTTTAAATTAGTAAATAACGTTTAGAAACTAAATCTGGGGGAAAAATGAGGGAATTTCCCTCGTTAACGTTGAAGTTTGGTGCTGATCACACGAACCGGCTCGCATCGAATACAACGGAACTCCGCGTTACTCCGATAGGTTCTTTTCTCCCCGACTCTCCGGCTCTTTCTATTAGTTGTGGAGTTCTAAGCAAGATATAAATAGCTAATTTGCTTCGAGAAAGTTTTCTACTCAATTTGAAGTTTCGCTGTAAAATAAAAAGTTTTATCCGGGCGGTGTAATGTTACAGGAATCGTGAAAGGAATGCGAATTTTTTTGCGAAAGAGCCTATTTAAATTTTACATCAGAAATACCAGCAAGGAAGTTGGCTGGAAATTTTAACAGGAATACATTAAAATATTTTAACAACTTTAAAATGGACCTTAAGTAAATAATCCTCTCGTTATGAATTAACAAAAAAAACGCAAAAAACCACACCTGTTTACCTCCGCTTAATATCTAATTTCTCGAAATCCGTGTAAAACCGCAAACTTCAGGCGCTTCTGTCGATTCAGCTGAAAACTGAAAAGTAACTTTAGAGCCCTTAACTCCCTAATTGAGGCTGAAATCCCTGAAACATGAAATTTAGATGTAGAAATTCCCTTTTAATTAACAACGAGAACGAAGTGAAAGTGAAATACTTATTTCCGGCGATTAACTGCATGAAGCTGCCTTGTATATTTTCGAATATGTACGGTGCATTAATCTCGTTTGAGATGGGTAAGCGTTTAATGGATTTCGAAATTGAATTGAAAATTTACAATGTTGAAAATTAAGCTGAATTTGTTCTATGTAATGGGATTACTACCTAGTTGAAATTAATTAAAAAAAACAGTTCAAAAGTTCCCTAGATAATAAAAACATAATCGTTCATTTTGCAAAAGTCAGTATTTTTAATATAGAAAAACTTTCGCTTTTTCCGATTTGCAAATACAACCAATTTAATTTCGAACGTGATTTATATTCATAAGAATTCCGAAGCGGCGTGGGAGTTTTGTTTCCCCATATTTCACCAAAAAAGGATATGCAATATTAAATTTTCTTTATCAAGGGGAACTTCACTTGCATATATTGAAATAGAAGCGACGTTATTTTGATATATGTATATACATTCAATTTTCGCCGGGAAATCGGGGAAAACGGACAAGATGGCCGACTAGACGCAAAAACTGATGTATATCGAATATATGAAAGGCAAAATGTAATATTTTGCGCTGAGAGATATTTGGCCCTCTTCAATACCCTTGATATTGATAAAACTTGACAAAGCCTGATCGAAAAAATGCCAAAAAATACATATTCTAATTTAATTTAACTACAAAGGTTTACTGATCCGATAAAATATTCATTACATTCCCTAACGTTCATGTAAAAACGGTTCATAAATAGAAATTTCCTATGTATATGATTGATAGAAAAATCAATTGAAGCAAAATACCAAAGAATAATTTATTGAAAACATTGAATCATCGGATGGATTCTAAGTGCTTATACTTGTTGAAAACGTTTAGCAAAACTTCCAAATTTCGTATAAGTGCCAAGTTGGTCGTTGAAATTTGGTCAGGGAAAAACGATTTTCTAAAACTTTCCGAGTTTAGATCGCTGGTTTTCCGGAGGGTTCGAGTTTTAGATATCCGACAAGTTTCTTTTACCAGCTCGTGTTTTTCAAACAGTTCCTAAAATCTTTATTGCCTAAAATCTTAATCGCGATACCAATTTTTTTCCTTGTCCTGCATGTATAAAAAAGAAAATTGATTAATGGATAAGAGAGAAACTTTTGTTATCCGACAACTCGTTCTCTACAATTAATTATAATTAGAAAATTTATCTTCTTAACTTTTTTAATTAAAAAAATGATTATACACCTGCGGAAAATCGTGGGGGATTTATTTTCTAGGAGCAGTGTAATTTTCTAGTAAATAAAATAATGTGATTAAGTGTGAATTTTATTTTTACTTTCGGTTATTCCTGGAAAACGTTGACTCAGCGACATCTAGTTAAAATCTCGCGAATTTCGACCATTTTCACTCCCAGTTTTTCTTTTATATCGACGAAAATTGTTTATATTGTAGATTATTCAATACTAGATGGTGGTGTATTATTTTTGAACAGTTTTCACGGATTTTATTTGGAAAATTGTGAAACATTTTTGATCGAATTTTTAATATTTCCTTATAAAAATATCGTTTTTCTGTTCTCGATATTCAGAATGTAGTATACATACAAGGTGTTCGGAAAATTCGGATAATGTCTCGGAATATTTGGATAATTTTAAGAAGAAAAGTTTATATCAATATATGTCCCAAACCTCTTAGTTTTCGAGCTACAGGGTGTTGTAATTTTAGAAGAAAAAATAACTTTTCTATCATAATAATTTTCTTATTACTTCAGATATTTTTATGAAATTTTGTACACACTTTTTAATTATTAAGAAGCGTTTTCTGAGGAAAAATATTTTATTAAATTTTTACCAATAACGTCCGTACGGGGTTTAAACTGAGTATGTTTCAAGAAAAAAATGATACGCCACTGCTTTTTCTAAACATCGAAATTATTTTTAAAATTCTCATTTATTTTGGGGCAAATTCGGTCCAAAGACTTACTTTCGTACGACGCACCATTTTCGCGTAAAATAATAAAAACCAAAACTATTTTTCCCAAATTCATTTTTAGACTGATTTTGATATTTAGTTGAAATTTGGTAGGCGCCCACCATGCATGGAAACACTTTTTTTGTGGGGAAGAAAAATTATTTTTCTTCTATTACCAGTGACGTCCATGTCCGAAATTTCATAAAAATATCTTTAGTAATAAGAAAATTACGATAGAACAGTATTTTTTTCTAAAACTGTAACACCCTGTAACTCAAAAACTAAGAGGTTTAGAACATATATTGATATAAACTTTTCTTCTTAAAATCATCCAAATATCCACATCCTCAAGTATCGGCACTCAATTAATTAACATTCTGTACATCCAGAGTGATACCTATCTACAAATCAAAAATAAACACGAGTAATTTTATCACTGTATAAAAAATTTATAATCAAACGATTATCGACTATATTAATACAAAAACAACTTAAAAAAAATTCAAAGAAGTCTCGAAACGAAGGCGCTTTTCGTCCTTCTGATCCCGTGTATCTCGTCCTCCTTGTTCTCCGTGTAGATGATCCTGTGCACGGTCTTGTCCTTCGCCGCATCTTGCTCCACGTCCTCCAGCGAAGGCTCGCTGGTGTCCTCCATGTCGTCCCAAATGTCCGAATCGGACTTGAGCGAGGCGTGGAACTTGTGGTGAAGCTGCTCCGAGAAGGTATCGATGGTCATAGCCATGAAGGCCTTGCCGAAGCATTCGTAAAACAGCGATATCACTTCACACGTGGGATTGTGGGGTATGAAATCGCCGAAACCTGCCAATGGATTTCGATTAGGAACAATAGTATTAATGTGTGGAGTATGAATTAGGTACCTATGGTAGAAAGGCAGATGAAGACGTAGTAGAATGAATCGAAGACGTCCCATTTCTCGAAATACGTGTACAACAAGGCTCCTATGAATATGTATACGGTTAGAATGACCAAGGCGATCGGTATTGGTATGTTAAATTCGTCGTCGAGTTCGAAAGTCGATATGTCTCGAGTTACCGTAGATTCTGAATAAGACGTTTGATCCAAATCGTCCTTTTTGTTCTCCACGTAGGTCAGTTTCGAGTGCAGTTTTTTCTCCACGAACACGTCCTGAAAATCGCAGATTTCGATTATCGAAATTAGGCTAATTAGAAATCGAACTTCACCAAGTGCTTGGATGGTTTTTTGCACGTCCCCCGATAGTACACACGCCTGATGAGCATCCATTCGTATTTAATGAACCTCGTAAACAATTTTCCCAAATCTCTCAGGAACAGCAGGAACAAAGGGATTCCAACGATTGCGTACACTATCGTCAAAACTCTACCGGCTGTAGTCAAGGGGTACATTTCACCATAACCTGTGAAATTTAAATAAAGCGTAAATATTTTTTAATTTATGCTATAAGTAGAACTGAGGTTAATGAATTTATAATCGAATTAATTTAATTAACAGCTTTTATAACTTACCTAAAGTGGTGTAAACAGTGTAGGAATAAAAAAATCCAGTCCACAAACACCAAATTTCCTCTTCCATGTTGGACATAATTAGGGGATATTTCCTGAAAAATTCGGATGTTGTTGATTCGAATTCAATTATGATGCTTTCAGCGCGCTTCGAGTACTCTTCTAACGATAAACTTTCTTGGCTAAGTTTGTGTAGGGAAATTATCGCGCGTTCTTGATAGCGAGGATATTCCTTTAATTTGATGTCTTTCTCCAGTTGACCTAAATTTAAATGGTATGGTAATAGGATCCCGATTTTTTTCAACAAGATAGGAATTAATGCTAACATACCTTCGATAACTGTGAAAACATAGCCGGGAATAAACGTGCCGAAAAATAGTATAAGACAAGATTTCAGGAAGTAAATAAACGTGGGGTATTTATTCGGTATGCGATGCAAACAGAACTCTTCAATACCCTCGCAAACGTTCTGAAAAGCCTTCATTTTATTTTTTGCATAGGATTATTTTATGTTTAGTTGTATTTTATTATCGTAAAATTTTTGGTCGTTAAATTTCATTTTTGACGTACGTTAGTATAATTTTTGACAAACTAATAAGTTTGTAGAAATTATCGGAGTTAGCTGGACAACCTAAAAAGGGTTAGTAATCAGTATAATCATAAAAGAAGAGTCTATTTATGTTTTGCAGGAATTTTTATCTCATATTTATTGTTTCAACTCCAATGATACATTTTAGAGACATTTACTAATTAAAAATACTTTGAAAAACTTCATACTATGTAAACATTTATGCTACCCAAACAACATTTATACTGCACAAAAAAGGATTTATACTGCTCAAGAAAACATTTTATTATCCAAAATATAATTTATACTACCCAACAAAACATTCACACTGACCCATAATCATTTACATGTACCGATCAACGCAGCATTTTACTGCCCCACAAATCATTTATACTGCCCAAGAAAACATTTTATGGTGCAAAATATGTTTTATACTACTCAACAAAACATTCATACTGCCCAACCAAAATTTTATACAGCGCAACGAAACACTAACTCCCGGCTCCTTTTACACTTTCACCATTTATTCATCAATCATCAGTTATATGTTCTCTCATAAGCTCGTGCTCCTGGTCAACTTCGCCGACGACGCCACCCCGTCGGCCACCAACCACTTGCTCCTCGTGCGCCGGATGCCCCGTCTCAGTTCCTCCTCCTCCTCGGCCTTGATGATCGTCTGCACGATTTGATCGGTCTGGCTGGCCGCTATCATCACCAGACTGGTCACCGAGCCGTCGGTGAAGCTGCTCTCGCCGTCGTCGAATCCGCCGTCGCCGTCGCTATCGGCGCCGTGGAACCGCGTCGTGAAGTAGTTCTGTATGCCCACGATCAGCATGGTGCAAATCGCCAGGCCGAAGAATATCACGAATATCGATATGATCTGGCAGAAGGGCTTGTGCGGTATGAAGTCGCCGAAGCCGATGGTCGACAGCGATATGAACAGGAAGTAGAACGATTCGAAGAACGACCAGCGCTCGTAGTACGAGTAGATCACCGAGCCGACGAACATGTAGAAGATGAAGACGAATATGGTGATGGAGATGGGCAGGTTGAATTCGGTGTCCAGGTCGAAGGTGGACAGCTCCAAGGAGGTGCCCGTTTCTTGGCTGCTGACCGATAGCCGATCGGCCGAACTCGATGGGAGCGATTCGACCAGACTTAGCGATCTTATGCTTCCTAATACCTCTAGGTGTGGCTAGAAAAATTATCATGAAATTCACCCAACCTTTTAGCATTCAATACTTACTTCAGCTACATCTGCTTTGGATTTTTTTCTACTACACGAACCCGTGTAATAAACCCTCCGAACGAACGACCACAACATCTTGAAAATCAGTGTTATGAATGAACTGAAATCAGCGAGGGCGACAAGAAACAGCGGTATACCAATAACAGCGTAGAACATCGTTAATAATCTGCCTTTAAAGGTTTTAGGCACCAGTGCTCCGTAACCTACGATTTTTCAAGATAGAACTACACCTAGAAACGTCTAGAATTACCTAATGTCGTGTATACAGTGGCCGCGTAAACGATGCTGTTCCACAACGTCCACGAAGTAAGTCCGCGATTTTTTTTGATGAAATCCTTAACGAGTTCCTTGCTCACTATAACCTCCATATACTCGTTGAGTAAATGCTCGGCGTGTTGTTTAAATTCGTGGTAATCCATCTTTTCTCCGGACAGCGCGTGGAGATGCTCCATCATGTGTAATCTATCTTCCGTTAAATCGGTCGTTTTCGGCGGTTCTTCTACTTTGTCTAGATTAAGTTTCGATTATGCATTAATAGGTGCAATAAGTGTTAATGCTTACCTTCAATAACCATAAATACGTATCCGGGAACGAGGGTGCCGAAGAAGAATATAACAATTAGTTTTAGGATGTACACAAGGTGGAAATTTTTTGTGGCGAAGTTGGAAAACAGCCAAATTTCCGTAGTTTCGATAATCTCATGAAATCTTTGCATTTTTGTGTCTTATGGAAAACATTAACTTATTTCAATTGACATTGTAGTATACTGTGTCAAAAGCTATATTTTGAAGTAGTTCCAATCAATTTATTTTCCAGCAAAATTAGCCTTGAACTAAGTTCATAGCAAAAAGTATACTTTTTACTTTAACAACAATTCATTTGTAAAACATTATTTATTTACAATAAAATTACATCTCAAAACGTACAACAATATAAAAATCATTCTCTATCTCCATCCAACAAAATATATACACTCTATTTACTTTCTACAACATCCTTAACATCGCCTTTCTTTTCGTCTACATCAGCAATTTTGGGCTCATTAGTAACAACTTCTGCTGTACCATTTTCATTATTCTTAAGACCGAGTTCCCCTTCCTCGACGATAGCCTCAGGTATGCCATCTGGTTCGACGTTGCCTTCCAGCTCTTCATCGGTCACTTCGAAGCCCATAGTGGACGAAAGCTTCAACGAAGCCTGTTGGAACGTGTCGCTGAGCTTAGCCTGCACCACGTTAATGCACATTGACATCAACGCCAACCCGAACACCAAGTACACGATCGACACGAGCATACAAATCGGATTTTTCGGTATGTAATCGCCGAAACCGACCGTCGATAGCGATATGAAGACGAAGTAGAACGAACCGAAGAAGTCCCATTGCTCCCAGGCGCAGTAAACCACCGCTCCTATGAACATATAAGCCACCAGTATGAAGAGAGCCAGCGATATCGGTAGGTTAAATTCATCGTCGATTTCGAAATTGGATAATTCAGGAGTGGTCGGGGTGTCTTCTGGATAAATTACACCGCCTTCTACTGGTTTATCTGGATGGACTTCGTTGGACACGTTGGAAGGCCTTCGGAATGTTGCTATGTCGTACATGAATTGCGCTCCCTTGATTATCTCCTGAAATAGAAAAGATCTAAGTTAATGTTTGTATTAATCAAGGGTTAAGATGAGTCTTAACATAAACCATAACCTGGATCAAAATTCATAAACCCTAAGGTCTAGAACAAGTTCAAGAACTTGGTTGAAATACTTTGGCCAACTGGGAACAAGAGTTAGATCTAGACCAAGACTTAGACCAAACTTAGAAGATGCCATAGAGTTGGACCAAGACCTAGAGCAACTTACCGTGACTTGTGCGCTTTTCCTCACTTTCCTGCAGCTCCCCGTGTAGTACAATCTTCTGACGAAGGACCACAAGAACTTTATGGCTCTGGTAAACAATTTTCCGAAGTCCGTTAAGGCGATAAGGAAGAGAGGAATACCGACGAGTGCGTAAACAATGGTTAAAGCCTTGCCGGTTTGCGTCGACGGGTAGATGTGACCATAACCTGAAATGAAAGAGGACGAAATAGAATTAGAATTGAAGATGACGTCCGGTTTTACCGATAGTGGTAACGATGGATATAGCGTAGACGATTCCGTTGAGGAAACTCCACGATCTTTGTCCGCTGTAGGTGGTCATGCCCGCTTCGTGGGCGACGTGAAGTTCCTCTTCGAAGGTACGCAGTTTGTTTCTGAACAGCGATTTCCAGTCTTCCTCTCTTAGATTGTGGCTCTTTATCCACAGCAGATCGATGAAGTCCCTTTTAACGCGTTTCACGCCGCATTTGTAGAAATTTTCGAATTGTCCTTCAGTGAATTTGAATAGGAAACCGCCTATGCCGCAGTAAAGGACGATTAGGAATAATTGAAACATGCATTTGTTCCACAGTACCTTGATCCGTCTATGTTCGGTTTTCATTTCTTTGGTGTATTTATTGTATTCCCTGAATATTTCGGCGATCGAGTAGAATTTTAGGATTTTGAAGAATTCTTTTACACCTATTACCGGTAGTTTGATTAGCGTTTTTCTTGATACGACGTGTTTGGATTGCGGATCTAAAATTTCCACGACTTTAGACGAGCATTTGGGTAGGTTTTTTCGATCAGATAAAGAGCCTCGTCTCACGTGCGAGGCTTTTTTAATAACAGGACCCGGAAATGCTATGTCGGGAACAACATTAGCTAAATTAGACTCTGAGTATTTCCTTGGTTTTTCCACTTTGGCGATTTCTAATTGTCGCTGCATTAGAGCCTGCTGCTCTTCGATTTTGTTAGGGGCGCTTTGAGATCTCTTCGCTCTTTCCTTGTCCTTTCGAAACCGATCCCTTCCTTTGATGGCGGCGTTGGTGATGGATTTCTTCGTTTTGTTGTACAACGTAGTGACTTCCTCTTGCGCCTCTTGCGCCATGTCGGATAGAGATTTCTTCCGTTGTTCGGACCCGGTGGAATTCTTAATCTTCTTCAACAACGCGTAAATCTCCTCCTGTGCCATATCCGAGAGGCTCTTCTTGCGCTCGGCCGATTTCCTCGCGAACCGCTTCTTCGGCTGCCTGTCCAGCTCGATCTTCTCCTCGAACGCCTTGATCTTGGACCGGAAGCTGGGCGTCCTGGAGGCGCTGGCGCTGCCCACCGAAGGCGAATCGGTCTCGCTGAGGTTCCTGCACGCCGCCGATTTGGTGCGCTTCGGCCGGCGCGGCTTCTCCGGCGCCGGAACGTCGTCGTCGGACGTCGTCTTCTCGTCGAACTTGCGCACCGGCGTCGGGTCGCGCTTCGTCAAGCTGGTGCTGCGCTTCTTCGTGAACCTCCTGCGCCTCCTGGCCACATTGTCACTCAACACCTGCTCGTCGGTCAGAAGGGTTTTGATCCTTTCGATGTCGATCGTCGTGGACGCGCGCGATGTTGGCTCCGATGCCATGTTTCGTAGACTAAAGTTAAATTTAGAATTTTAATCTGGGATAACGCGGTACGTGGCCGGTGTTATTTTTGAAAGACGGGTTCAGTTTGGTTGCACTGGATGTAGGTGGCTCTACTTGGGCCAATTTGTTGCGAGAAAGTGGGTCATTGTTGTAGATTTTTCTCTTAAGGAATTGATGAGCTTTGAAACATTGTACAAGCATTGAGATTCCTCAATTTTTAATACTAGTTTCTTGCATCCAATTACCCTAAGATTGTAATACTTTCAATATTCCTAATTTTTGTCTCCACCAATTCTGACCTAATTTAAAAAGAAATAATCTTGGTTGCCTAAATTCCCATTAAAAATAAACATATCTTATTAACACATTTTCCACCAGAAGTCCACATTTACTACGAAATACTTGCTCTACAATCTTTTGCGATATTGCAATATTAATCCTGATGATAATCATAATATACATACCTAAGGTTGTATAAACGGTGGCACAATAGACTATGGCGTTCCATAAAGTCCATATTTTGTTCCCTCTGTTGGTCATGATTAAAGTGTCGCTTTGGTAGTATTCTATGATTTTGTCTTCGTATTCTTTGACTAGTAGAGAAGCTTTTCCTTCCCATTCCTGCACTGAGGTTTTTTCTGGCATGATGATCGATAGGTTCCTTAGGGTTCTGATGAGTGAGTATCTGTCGTCGTGTAGGTACTTTTCTTTAATTGCGTCTTCGTTTGAACCTAAGAAAATCGTAAATTTTGAGTTTTTAAAATGTCTCGTATGATTTGTTGGAGAAAATGTATATATTAAAATAACTGGTGACAAACTAATGGCAAAACTTCAAGTTCAAGATGATGAATAACTTGCTGTATGGATAATGTCTTTGAAATTTGAATTTAGAATATAAAAGTAAATTTATTTTTTGTAGAACAATATTGTGGGTTGTCTATTTGAGATCGATTAATTGATAGCTACCTAATTACAATAGTTATTTTAAAAATCAATTAGTAAATCGCAAATGTCGTAATGGTTTAAATTTTTTAAATATACACATTTTTATGCTGGCTCAGATTTTTGTTTTCTCATGAAAACAGAAATTTTTAAATATATTTGCTATTAAGTTTAAATTTAGTTCAAAGATTCAACTATGATTGATAATTTTACATAATTCAGTCCCAACGTTATGAATCTTTTTATTATCCTTCAAAAAACAGATATTATGCAGGCACAATACAAATCATCAAAACTTAGAAAAATTGCGCCAAAACTCCGAAAATTTATCGCGTAAATACACATTTTTTATACACATTAAAAGAAAATTGAGTGCGACTATTTACGTTAGTAAATTTATGAGGTGCAAATAGATTTCATGTAACACCTACATAACGACTGTAATATTTAAAATCTACTTAAGAAAAACTGCGATTTCCCTTTCTTAACGTTTCGACATTTCTTTAACCTACTTTCCGAGTTTATTTCGAAACACTCCCGAAATTCGCGCAGACTTCTTCTCTTTTCATGCGAGCCTTCCACGTTTCGAAAACCGTCCGGCATATACGCGTGGCCATTCAAAATAAAAACAAGCAATAAAAGCTTAATCGAGGTCGCGGTTTTTCAAATATTTACACCCGGTAGGTTGTCGAAATTTTTTTATACGCCGGGAAACGATTTATCAACTCATCGATTTAATTAATTCATTGTTTTTTAAGCATCTTACGTAAAATAATATAGGAGTGGAAAAAGTAAAGTACTCAAAGTACTGTACTTGAATAATAATGTAAAGATGCAAGGATATAACTAATTTATTTATTCCTTCATTTACTTATTTATTTGCCCGTTTATTCATTCACTATAGCTAACTGATGGAGATTTTTTACATCTGCTTATACCTAATTGTTTCGATTGAAGGTGAGAGAAAATGTATTCCGGATGAAACGAGGTCGCCGAATTCGATTATTGAAATCTCAACAATCGGAAAATTATTCTTCTGATTCTATTGACTAGAGAAACCCGGATTTGGGTAATATTCGTTGAGAAAATTTATGATTTATTCACTCTTGCAGAGGAAATGACGATATCCCAAATATTGTAACATTTTAAAAAAAATTTTATACTTCGTTGATTGTAAAGAATAGTTCTAGCAAATGAATTATATAGGGTGTTTCCAAGGTTAATAGTTTTTAATTTATAATTGAAATACTATCATGTTAGGTACAAGTATTGAGTTGGATTCGAGATTATGAAGTAAGCAATTAAAGTCGCATAAAACCGGCAGGAGCAAAAGCGAATCCTGTCGATAAAATTGAAGATGATTCATATTTTTATCCATCCCATTTTACAACTGTTTTTACAATCTATAAAACGTTTTAGATTTTAATACATAATATTTCAACGCGAATTATTTTTAGACGCTAATGGCTGTTAATTAATTAATCAGCAATAACGAAGGCGAAATTATTTTTGTGTATATTTTCACCAATTTATACATACACACTATACCTACCTTCGATGTAAACGAACAAAAGAGCCCCGCCGACCGTATAAAGCGTTATCACAATAGACAAAAAACAATGCGTGAACCACCTTTTACTCAAATGTTTGACCTTCCCGTAGCACCAAACCGAGCACTTCTCGCCAATCCCCAACCCCGATTTGGCGGTGTTCATGGTGAAATCCCTCAAACCCACGAACTGCCTGTTCATGAACATCGAAGCCTTCCTGCCGTAGGGCTTCGGCATGCCCATGGAGCTCATGGTGTGCACCGAGCCCGGCGTGTAGGGCGCCTGTCCTGGATAGGAACCCGCACTGTAGGGCCCGAATTGCCGGTGCAATTGCGGCGGAGGGATGACGAGGGTGGGCCTGGCGAAGCCCACCCTCTTGCCCGCCGGTTCCGCTCCGGGCGTCCGGACTTTGCTGCCCGTCGACTTGAGGGACGTCGTGTCCGCGGACATTTCGCTGAGATATTGCCCGGCACTCGAAGGAAATCACATAATCTTCCGGACGGGCTCCGGTGTTAGACGCTTTCGGGCGTCTCGACGCGGTCGGTTCGTGATCGTCGCGGCGACTCCCGCTTATTTTTGTTTGGGATTGGCGAAATTTCGAGTTGTCTTTTAGTGGGAATGATATGGTATTTTTGGATAAGTTTGTAATCGCGGGTTTTTTTCGTGGTCATTTTCGATCGGCGCCTCCAGAATTTCTTATAAAAAATACTTAAAAAATACCACGCAATTCTACTATAATTTACTAGTTAAGTCGTCCTACTCATTTCACTTTTGTACCAATTATTCCAATATTTTCGACTAAAATTTTATCAATATTATTCACACAACTAATTCATCCAGCCGGCAGCAACTTCAAATCTTTTCCAATTTCCAAAATTACATGTGGACTCGACTAACTAGGTTATTCGGCCTTATGGATTAATTTCTGTATAATAATTTCGAGCTTGCGGAGCGAGCGAGAGGGCGATGTTCAATGCCGTCTGCTTATAATAAATTATTCTGTGGAATTCCGAAAACAATTCGAGTTCTGACGAACTCGCCAAAAAGGTTTTTCACACCAACAATCGCGAAAACATTTACTCAGAAAATTTTATTTTCGATATTTCTCAAAATTCGGTTGGACAATCGGTCATTATAATTTTTATAAGTGATTTTATGGTACATTTACAGTATAATGAATTAATACGTGTCCAAAATGAATAAATTATAAATTATTGTCTCTTCGCGCTCGGGTGTTTTATATTTGCTATATGAAATATAGGTACAGGGCGTTTCATTGCATAAGAGTATAAATTTAGTTCAACTTTAAAATAGAGTTTCTTTTACTTTTCTAAGAGTTTCCAATTTATTTTACTATAGAGATAAAGGGGGAGTGTAATTTCAAGAGAGTAATATCAACAATTAAATAGGGCTATTAATAGCATAAAAGTCGATATGTTACGTAGTAACTATGACGTACAGTTTTAAAAATAGCGGGCTAACGGTATTTTCTAAATCATCATAGATGAGTGGCCAGAATCCAAAATTATATTTAGATGGCGACAATGACTAAAAAAATTGTCAAATTCCAGATCATTACCTCGGGCGACAAACTCCGAATTACCTACGCATTTTCTAGCAGAGTGCGTTACAAAATTAATATTAATATTACCTACTAAGTTATACTAAGTCTATGATTTCATTCGTCCTACATGTGGAAGTAATATCCTTATATTACTTTTCTTAACACTGTAAATTATTAGTATTAAAAATATTTTTAAAACCTGTATATTCTTTACTAGAAGCATTTGAATATATGTAGGTTAATAGGTTTAGTAATCATAATATACCCTTCTACATATTTTTGTGCATTAAATCTGAGAGTATCAAAAAAATTAAAGTGCGTTTAAAGTTTAAAGTTTTCTAAAAATAATAACCGAAATGATTGAACATCATCTCTTCGATCGATTAACAATAATTCCGGAGAGAGAAAAAAACGTTTGAAAACCCATTAAAATAAAGTTTACATAACATTGCGCCCACTCGGGAACACTTTTGCGTATGTTTCGGATTTTAATGGGCCGTTTATTTACTATTTTGTTTACACGAATTGGATAAATTGAAACTGTATTAAGGAGTGTTTTGTTGCTTTTATGCGCCGTTTTTATTTTTACACAAACATTGGCAATTGTGTAAACGATACTGTGTATACTATTGCTGGAAAATTTTCGATTCGGTTAAAATACCTAAATTCAAAGTTATTAGCCTAAAATAAAGTTTAGTATGCATGGAAAATTTGATCGAATTAAATAATTGATCATGCAGGATACTTCCTGACGAGCGCCATCTAGGAAAACCGAGCTAAGGTTGTTTTCCTGCGGGATACGCACAATTCGAGATTGTATAGATGGCGAAACGAGCCCGATTCCCCGTTAAACAGGACACGATAAATAAGCAGGATACGCTTTGGCTTTCAAGCGGTAGATTGCGGACGAATTCGGATAAGTTATTTATTGGAGTTAGAACAATGACCACAATTTGTACGATAAATCACCGGGTACTGCTGGGTTTGCGTTTGATTTTGGGCAAGGGAGGCGGGCAGGGACGCGGGGCCGGTGTCAATCCGCAGGCCAAATACACATCGGCCATGTCCATTTTAGTGAATTTCTCGGTGGCTTTGTCGGCTTTGCGCGGCGCGTTCATCCCGCGATCGCTGTACTCCTTGGCCGGTTTGCGCTGGATGCCGGACGGTTTCTCATCGTCGATTCGCCCGGATTTTCTCAGTTTCTTCTCCCATTTCAGTTTCTTCTGTGCGATCTCCTTTTGGCGCTGCTTCTCGCGCTCGGCATCGGCCTGGAGGGTCTTGTCGCAAGGCTTCAGGTCATGAACGACCGTAGTCATTAGAGTAACGAAAAAATTTTGCAATAAGAAACGTCAAAAATTGATAGCAAATAATGCAAACGACGCTTAATAACCCGGCTTCCTCGCTGTTATCGTTTGACAGACTTCATTCATAATTTTTTTTTGCAATATTTTGGTTTAACTTTTCATCAAACTAATTAGAAAAAATTACCCATGAGTTCGACGAATCCATCATCGGCGACCACGACCGCGACCAAGACCAAAGCCAAGACCAAATCCACCGTGAAGAAGTCGAAAACCGAGAATGTAGACGCGACCAAGAAGAAGAAGTCGAAAAAAGCCGTCGGCAAGGACCAGGAGACCGGCTCCAAAAAGAAATCGATCAAAGACAAGACCAAGGAGAAGAAGACCGCGAAGAAAGCCACCGATAAAACTGCAGCAGCGAGGAAAAACAACAAGAACAACGCGAGCGTAGAACACTATACAATGTAACCGACTGTATTCTAATAAATATTTTTGCTCATCAGTAACCAAACGACTATGTTTCATTGGAGACCTAAAATTGCTCCACGCTGATTTAAAAAAAAACTCGAAAAAGTCGGACAAAATTTATATTTGAAAAATCTACACAAGCACTGTTTGAATCAACAAGAAGTAGGCTGGGCCCCTCCGCCTCCAGCCTTGCCACCATCAGGATCCGCCGCCCTCTTAGCCTTAGCTATAGCTATCCGGGCCATCTTCTTGGCGATTTTCCTGATTTTCTTCTTGTCCACCCAGCTCTCGACCAGACACCTGAACACCGGCTTGTTCACCTCCTCAATCAGATCCGTGAGGAACTTGATGTAGTCTTCGAACTGCTTGAGCAGCTTCTCTTCGATCTCGGCCGCTTTGGCGCCTTCGCTGCCGCCGCCTTTGGGGGGCGCGTCCGGGTCCCAGGCGTCCGCGTCCCCCTCCATCTCGATGTTCAGCGAGACCTCCTCTTCGTCGCATATCGGTACCCCGGCCATCTTGCGATCCTGCTAGAACTAGACAGAAAATTTGCACAATTAATTTCGATTCTATCTCCCCTCAACCTGCCGCGACAGTGACAGTTATGACGCTCGCGCGCTTAAAAAAAACACCATCGCATAATCTTCGCCGAAATTAGGATAGGCTCTTATGAATTGTTTACTTTCCCGATTCGCGGAGAGGAGGAAAGTTTCCTGCTGGAAGTTTTCGACTTTATTAGCTCCGGCGATGCGCGCTTACCTTAAAGCATTGTCGCTCGACCGGCGCTAGATGGGAAATGGATTTTAATTAGCCGGAAAGTTGGCAACTCCTATAGCGATTCCGAAATGGTTATTAATTATAATTAATATCGCGCGCCTAGCATGTTTTGGAAATTGAACGATGAGAGGGAATTATCACCGCTTCCCCCCTAACTGCCAAAAGAAGGTGGAAATTAACGAGGCTTAAAGAAAAAGTTGAAGATTAACTCGTTAAAGACAAAGATGTTGATGATAAAGTTTTAAAGGTGCAGTCGTTTAAAAGATCATGATCTTCCAGTTGAAGGTCATGAAGTAGAAAATATGAAAGATAAAGATGTGGAACATAAAGATATAGAAGAGAAGGAACATGGAACATAAAGATATGGAAGATGAATGTATGATGAAGATGATGATAAAAATAGAGGCATCAAATATTAAAATGTATCTTTATTGTCTCAAACGATTATCAATTACAATAAAATCAGACCAATTTGAACAAAAAACTATAAAGGTTTCCGCTGGAATCGGCCACCCGACACACCCGGTGCTCGCAAGCAACTTCTTGGGGAAGAGTCGATGTTTCCACTGACTTGTCCCTGCTGGTGCGGCCGTATTGGGTACTGGCAGCCCTTCGAAAGGGAGCGCTGAAAGTGAACGATCTTTTTTTGATGTACTCGTTAGAGTAGACGATTTTTGTGTGATGTACTTTGGGGGAATGCGATGGTTTGGAGGATTTAGGTTTAGAAGTCGGCGTCTTCGCTAGGGATTTTATGGGCGACGTGGCTCGGTTCTGTAGCTTTTTCCTCTTCGTGATTTCTCTCGGTCGTCTGCTTTCGATGTCTTCTTTGAGTTTTTTGCGTGAGGAGGACGGGCGTTTAACTTCAGCTTCTTTACTGGTTTTCTTCGGTAATTGTTCCGCCGGGGTTTTCTTCGGTAGGGATTCCGTTAATGATTTATTCGCCGTCGGTGTTCTGCTTCTTTTATTCGGCGACGAGTTGCTGCGCGTCTTGGAGGGTTCCGTTTCTTTTGGTTTTGTTGGGACAATCCATCTGCTGGCTAAGGATCTGCTGCGGCGCTCCGCGCTCTTTGCTTCTTCAGATTTGGTCGATGTTATTTCCTGCATTCTTTTGGCTAGTATCTTCCTTTGCGATGGAGAATTGTACTTGGAATGTTTGGTTTCTTTGGAAACTTTGCTGGGTTTGAGCAGTCTTATGGGCGATAACGACTTGTTCTTGTAGATGACGGTTTTATTTTTGGGTGTTCTGGATCGAGTTACGTGCTTTATTTCTTTTGTAGAAACGAGAAATTCGTTTTGCATTGGTAATAACGATGGGAGATTAATATTAGCGGGGTTTTCTTTTACCATCTTAAATTCTTTGGAACTCGCCAACGATTTATTCGACGTTTTCGTTGTTTTATCGATACTTACTTTCGTTTGAACAACGGCAATCGGACTAAAAATGATTAATTGGAACATTTCGTCTGAGCAAATTCGTTTGAAAACGTACCTTTTACTTCTAATTTTCTTGCTAAATTCATCCGATGTGGATGGTAAATTGGATTCTTGTGCGGTAAACGCGAATGGTGACAGAGAATACGACCCCAACGTATTTATCGATCTTCTTGGAGGAGCAGGTGATATATCCCGCTTCTCCAGTTTGAATTCTGTTAGATCTACATCTTCTTCGGTAGAGCTATCGGACATTTTCTCACTGGAATTTTTAGGTGTGACATCAATCGAAATATCTTCTTTCATAGATAACAAAACCAGCGAATTCGTAACTAACTTCCAACTAATTAATTGGACTAGATGGGTATTGGTAAGAGGCCAATACAAGATAAGATTTCAAATTATCAACAAATTGTAGGCACCTACATTGCCCAAAGGAATAAATATTTTATAAGAGCACAACACGTTTATTTCAGATCATCTGTTCTGAATCCTAAAACATTAATCACAGGACAAAATGGTAACACTGTGAAGACAATAAAAAAAACCCGCAGGCTTCATTTCCTCTTCTTCTTGGGTATTTGAGCCGCCTTGTTAGCTTGATTGGCATCGGCGACGCCTTCCTCCTTCAGCTTCTCCAATCGCTTTCTCTCCGCCTCCCTGGCGGCCTCCTCCTGGTCCTCGATGTACTTCTTCACCAGCTCCGGAGTTATCCACACCGACATGATGATATCGAAGATCTCGTGGTTGATTTTCAGGATGAGCTGCTTGAGGAACTTCTTCGCCTCGACGACCTTCTTGTTGACCTTCTCCACCTTCTGTCCCCATTCCACGATCTGCTGGATCGATTTCTGTTCGGCCGATTGGATCCCGCACGGCCTCAGGCAACCCATTCTGGTTTTTTATTAGCTCTAGTACATACGAAATTACGTAAACGTATGTGCGTTAAGTAACATGAATTTGTAACTGCTGTTTCGATGTTGTGTTACTACAAATTTGGGCTTGTTTGAAGTATTAATGAGTTTCGGTTTTTACTTGACGTTGAAGTATTATTTGCTTTGCAGTGGTTTAATTAAATTTGGCTACAGTGGTGCCAATTATTTCAAATAAAAAGAGGAAAGTAGGATACTAGAATTAAAACAACAATGAAAGTTTCGTTTAATTTAATCAGTTCACAATGGCAACCCGTTATAATTGTTTGATAAGTGTGTAGTGAAGGGATTTTTCTCAGGTTTATCGAGTATTTGTTACCAAAACTCAATCTGAAAATCAAAATTTGTTTTCTATTAAACCAACTTTACAAAGGAGCTGTAAAGAGTCTCTTACATGGTGGTTATGCTACTACTACACCGTTGGGTACGTATCTGGTGTTCCGTTTGGGCAACTGGGATGCTACATGAACGAATTCCGGTTCTTCGCCCTCTCCGCCGCCTCCTTCGGCTATTGCCTTCAGCCGCAGCGCCTCCGCCGCCTCCCATTCCTTCATCCTGATGTACTTAATGAGGGTCTTCGGCGTGATCCAGAAAAACAGGACGTACTCGAACAATTTGTGGTTCTTCGGTTCGATCGCCGCTTTGAGGAAGTCCTTGGCCTTGTTCACTTTGCCCCGCATTCGGCCGATCAGTTTCTGCTCTTCGATTTGCTCCTTGAACGATTTCTGGACGGCTTCCCCTTCGGGATCGCAGGGTTTCAGATTTTTCGCCATCGCTCACCTGCATTGAGGATGGTGGAATAGTAAAGATATATTATGATAACATTTAATCGTACTCTTTAATGATCTGTTAACGGTGCATTTGTGCTAGATGAGTTTACTTACGATTAACGGGTAATTAATACAAGAATTTTGCAGTTAACATCAAAACATTTAAAACAGGACCGACAAAAACCCGAATTTGACGTTGACTGATTACATTTCGAAATAGGGTTAAGGTATTACTATACAGGGTGTCCCAACATTGTATAGGCTTTTTACGAAACTATCTGTTACAAGTAATGCTCTTTTGAAAAAAAAACTAAATTTATGTCGCTGGTTGAATTATTTTGGTGATATTCGTCTCCTTTTCAGACAGTAAACAGGTAACACGTAGATCATGTAAGGTCTTGTCTGTGGTGTCACGGGCGGGCGGCAGACTTTCTGCGACAATATGATTTATGTGCGGCGTTTATCAGACCCACGCAACTCCCTAGTTCCATCAATGGGAAAACCGGAATGGAAAGACGGGAATGTAATTTTGATAAATCTGAAGAGGCGGGAATGGGGAAGCGTATTTGTATTCATTGGAGAAATTCGTCCGTCGTGCGTCGAGCCTGCGGAAAGAATGGATTATTTTTTCCGTTATTATCACGACGTGTGTCAGGTGAGAAGTTAGTTAATTCTGGAGGTTTTTTTGGTACACAGCAACAAGTCGGATTTTCTTGGTACATTTTTACATCATTTTAACAAATATCATCAGTGCACGTCACCTATAATTTACTACGTCACAAGTAGGCAGTGTTGCCGAACTTTTGCAGAGTTTTGAAATCTATAAGAATTTTCTAAAATTATCAAATGGCAAAATGACAAAAAAAATTGAAAATTAGGGGACCCTGTTTCACGTTTCTAAACGAGTGGACGTATTCAGGGGCTCACTATAATTAATCAACAAATTCCTTTATCATCTGAAATATATTTAACAGTGCGAGTAAAAAAATTAGTGTACAATTGACCCTTAAAAAAGTACATAGTGACATTTCTAAGAAAACATATGTAATTTCTAACATGTGGAAGAGATAACAACGCAAAAAAAATCAAATTTCTTGATTATTCGGTTGGATAGCCTTTAGTAGTTGACGCTAGTAAACTAAAAAAAAGAAGAAATTTAAAATTAAAAGTACCGATCGAATGACAACGGCAATTATGCAACTTGACAGTCAGTGTTTACAAACCTACTATAAGAAAATAACGACATTTTTTTTCAGAATTTTGATATATTTTTTTTGATGATTTAATTCTGCTTTTTAATATTATCTATCATCCCTTGTTAATATTAAACTTAATTAAACTTAAATATTAAACTTAGTTAGTATTAAACTTAATCTATTTTGTGTATTTATTTTAAAAGTTGGGCACAGTGCTTGACAAGTATGACGACAGTAGTGACGTGCATTGATATTTGTTTTGCACCGACAATATAAGCAAAAATATTATATTTATAACTTATTCAGAGAGTGGTTCAGAATTCAAAAAAAAGAGCAACTTATACACCAAAGTGCATAAAACTTTCCAATATGGTCATTTCTGTGAGTTGAACAAAGAAAGGTTATTAACTAAGCTTTCATGAATTCACTGTTAATGAATTGATTAACTATGCATATTGTCTAATATGCATAATTCTGGGCACCCTGTATACAACCTTTAAAGCACGGTTCATTCACTGTTTGATTACCTTTAGCTCCTTTCAAATGCGTCATAACATAAAATTAAATATTCATTAGGTGTATTTTATTGCGCATCTCGCCTCATAAAAGAAAACTAAAAAGCGAACCGCCGCAAAGTACTTTATTATGGAGTCATACATTACATTCGCCATCGAAGACGAGGCGCTGTAAAAATTCCGTCTACCTTTTACCTAGCCGACGGAAGCGACGCCCGACGACGCCGCTCCGCGCGTCCGACGCTCGCTCGACTTCCGTCGATAGCTCGCATCCACGCCAGACGGGATCATTTATTTTGGAATTTTATTTTTCAGCTGTTCCGGTTCTCAAGGGGAGCGGATTGTTCGACCTCGCATATTGGATGGATTTTAAATTAAAGCGATGCATCTTAGGGAAATTCAATCGTCGGTGCTCCGGGTAAGTTGTAGAGAGCAAGTTCGACTTCAATGTAATTATTCTTACCTGTCGGATGGGAATGTTTTTCATTTTGTTTTTTTTTTTGACTGAATGATTTTCATTACGGTGTTTTCAAATGGAAGTTTTGATTAGATTTGTGATGTTAGTAGGTTAAAAATACAGTGAATTTCCTATCTGGTAGAGCTCTTTTATAATTATTTTGATTACAAAAAACTTTATAACATTATAAACTTTACCACACCTACGGAGACAACTTTTCTTAATAAAAAACTTATTTATTTTAACTATAAGATGGATTTTCCAATACGCCCCCGCGATACTTTAAGTGCACAAAACTTTTTTTCTGTACTACACAATTTATATTTAAGGTTTTTTTAATATTTGTTTGGTCTATAAATCGGACCGGTTTATCAATCAAATCTTATTTTTAATAAAGCGCAACGTCAACAACTAACTGGGTATAATTTCGAAACCGATTTGTAATATTTTCCCACGGTTTTCCAGCGTCCCGAAATAAACGCGGGAACGATGATATTTCGAGTTAAATGCGGCATCTAAATTTAGCTTTATTAAATGGAGACGAAAAGCTCGACTGTCATTAGCGTTTTCCTCAAAACCGTTCATGCATGCCAGTTATCATTAATTTTTTTCGATGCCGCGATATTGTAATTCATCCGCATTTTTCCGGTATCGATCAATTCCTGTTGTGAGGGGATTTCGGTCGGGGAAATTTTCAGTTATACCTCGAAAACATTCAAACCGATTCTATCCGAATTAATTGAACTTTCGGCGTTAATTTATCAGCCGAAAGGCGGTTTTTTCCACATAAATTCTCGCATTATAAATTCGAACACGCAATAGAAATCTTTCCATCTCGAACGAACTACGAAAGACGAAACCTGAATAAACAAGTCTTGTTCTCAGAACTAATGGACTATTATTTGTATTAAATTATTCCCTCGCAAAGTTTGTAGGGGTTTAAGACGGCGAAAAATTCGCAAATCGCGAATTTGCAATGAGCTTTTTTTGGCTATTATACTAGGTTTTTTATACAGCTCGTCTTTAAAAGGACTCATTACGTATGCGACGGGTATGCTATGCTCATGTTAATTCGATGATGTTCAATCCAGTGAATTTTATTTGTAGCAGATTTTCCATTTTTAATAAAAAATTGCTTGAGGTATCACCTTTATTTTTAATCTCAGAATCGATAAATCTTTACTATTACCTGCATCTGTTTTCCTACGACTCTTTTTTGCGCAATTTTATTTTTGAGTATATATCAAAACACTAAAACTTTCGCACCGAATCATTCTGGTCTTTTATATATCAGAAGTTTCGCGGAGATTTCGAACGCTTCAGCGAATTTATATTACCTTGTTAGGCAGAAAAACCTTTTATTACTTTTGCGATATTTTATTGGCAAATATAGTGTAATAACATCTTTCGCGTAAGGCATTATAATCGAGTTTCCGGGATATGCGGAGAATAAAATGCTCGAGTCGTTATAGACGTGGGTTTTTATATTGTTTAATAATAATTTTGTTAGTCGAGAGGTTTTATTACTAGAGAAAATAACTGTTCAATTTTCTTAATCGACTGGAGAAATGTAATTTGTACCATTTAATCATATAAAGTACTTATTCAGAGTTTTGACACTTCTGCTAAGTATATTAACGTTATTTTGACACAAATTAGTTGTCATCACTGTCATTTTTGAAGCATCTGAGCATGCGCAAGAGCTGATTTAACGTTAAAAAACACCGCACCTTTATTTCGAGCTGAAAGCAACCGATCTTTTCTCTTCACAAATATCATTTTACATCGTTTTTGTTCGGCCGAGAAGGATATTATAGCGCAGTAAAACAAATTCGAGGCTTTTCAGCGATACAAACGGATCCACGTTCGTCGCGCGTTTTTTTTTGTATTCCTCGATCTCGCAAATAAACCTTTTCTCGTTGCTAATAGGATTTTTCTGAGGAAATTTATTTCATTGTCGGGCGTATTACTTACCGACCTCGAGTCGATCATTACGGGCCGAAGGGCTTTGTAGCGCGAAAAGTTTTTTGCGAAAAAAATTTACCCTCTACATGTGTATCGAGGATGGTTCGATTCTCGAGGGCGCGAGAGCCTCTCGTTCATTACCGGTGTTTTTGTAAAATATTATTGGCGAATAGGCGGGGGATAAATCCTTTCGGAAAAGGAACGCCGGCGAAAAACCGTCAAAACAACCCTTTTTTAATGGATGTTTCGTGTAGCACTAGCGGGGCGTTTGGAATCTCTCTGAAAATATACTCTCGTATACATCCTCTTTGGTTGAAGGTTAGGTGCTTTAAACGGTTTGTTTACTTCCTTAAAAAATCACTGTGATGTATTGGAATCGATTGCTTTAGTGTTATTCTATCAGAAATTGAGACAGCTTTTTTATATGTAGCTGCTAAGTGGTAACGGCTAAATGGAAGTTTAAGCTCATGAAGCATTTTTTGCATTTACTGGTGCAATTTTTGGATAGTTAATTGGTATTTTAGATGCGATATTTTCATAATTTAAAGAAATGTTTTTTTTGGTATTTTTTTACCTTCTTTGTTTGATTTAATGATTTTTTATTTTTATACAATTTAGTTGTTTTTTCCGCTATTTTAAAAGAAATTATCAACAATTTTAATATGCTTATTTATCAAAATACTACCAGTACCTAAACATTACCATGCATAATTACCAAATAAATGGAATTTATTTTACAAAACAATATTGTAATTTCTTTTCACAAAAAATGTAATTTATGTAAATTGCATGGTCATTGTAAATTTATTGTAAATAATTTTTTCAGTGTAGATTGAAAATTTTCAAATGAATGTTATTAAAATCTTGTAA